GGTGGAATAAAAAATAATTATTTACTTATTTTAAATATTTATTTATTTATTTATTTATTTACCTCTGAGTAGAAGGGGGGGCGGAGCGGGGGCGTGAATGTATAATTTTGGAAAAAGCGATTTAAAACGAAAACCAGCTGCTGCCGGGTTCCGTACTCTTTTCTAAACAACAATATAAATTTTAAAACCGGGAAAAAAAAAAGGATAGTCTGAAAACGATCAAGAGGCGAACGGTAAAAAAAAAAAAAAAAAAAAAGAAGAAAAGCGAGTGGTGCACGTCACACCGAGCCGTGTGCTATTGTTATCTCTAAGCCAACCCTCGTCCGAACTTCTTTTTCACTGAATGTGAACGTAATTTACGGGCAGATGCATCCCGTGAAGTCCATCCAACCCCGTGTCTGTATGTCTACCCTTCGTAGGCCATACGCGCACGAAACTACCACTTTGAATCTGGCGCAAATTAGAGTCCGATACATTTCGCAAAGCTCTCTCTCTTAGCATTAAGTCTGCTGCACAGTAAGACTGCGATCGAAAACCCCTCCCCTCATAAGTCGGGCGGCAAGCGCACCCTCGTCCGAACTTTTTTCCAATGAATTTGAACGTAATTTGCGGCCAGATGCGTCCCGTAAAGTCCAACCTCGTGTATGTATGTCCAGTAAAGTCCAACCCCGTGTATGTATATACCCTTATTAGGCCATACGCGCAGTAGCACTTTGAATCTGGCCGTAATTACAATCCGATGCATTGTCGAAGGTCTCTCTCGCAGCGTAAGTCTGCTGTAAGACTGCACTCGGCAGGCAACGAATCTCTGTGCTGTCCGCAGACGTTCAAACTCGATCAGAGATTTCCACGTGGACGGCTCAGAAATGTCCACGTGGACGGCTCAGAGATGTCCACGTGGACGGCTCAGAGCTTCCCACATGTGTCAGATCGGTAAATGCCTTCGCTACCAGCCCACGTGTCAGCTCACTGACGATGTTCACGTGTCCGACTCAGACGTGCCAAGTCATCTACATTTTCTCCGACGAACAGAACACACCCGGTCAGTTTGACCGCATCTAGCCAGGAACGCGCCTCATATCCATTCATCGCCACTGGGTGTGCTTTCCGGGGTAGGGAGGTAGCCTTCGCTGAACACAGACATGCGATTCCGATTCATTTCCGCACTGCCGTAATTTACCGTATTATAACCATGAACTGAGCTGTTTTCGCAACTACATTCAGTCATGCCGAACAGTTTTGGCCACTACATTCATTCGTTCATGCCGATTTATATTTTGGTAGTGCCCATGCGAGCAACGCACACAAACACGGTTCAGCCTTTTTGTCCTATTTTATTAGAGAGAACATTCCTGGTACCTTCCTCTTTTTTTTTTTCTTTTTTTTTTGCGCAGGGACCAATTTCTAATTATACCCTTCTCTGTATCGTTCCAATTTTAACGGATGTCCCGAAGGACACCTTCCTTTCATTTCACGATACGGTGTTTAGGCTTTTTGTCCTCTTCCATTCTGTGTGTTCTATCACGGTCCTATTTCAAAAATCTCCCCACACCTTCCCGCCACCGTCCTATTTCAAAAATCTCCCCACACCTTCCCGCCACCGTCCTATTTCAAAAATATCCCCACACCTTCCCGCCACGGTCCTATTTCAAAAATCTCCCCACACCTTCCCGCCACGGTCCTATTTCAAAAATCTCCCCACACCTTCCCGCCATTATGATCAACATTCTTCAAAATTTCAGTAATTGGATTTGAATCATTTTATCATTTTTCTTTAATCATTTTCTAACATTAACTCCTACCCCGCTACTCTCTCTCTCTCTCTCTCTCTCTCTCTCTCTCTCTCTCTCTCTCTCTCTCTCTCTCTCTCTCTCTCTCTCTCTCTCTCTCTCTCTCTCTCTCTCTCTGTGTGACGCACACATGTATTCATAACTATCAGCGGATGGTTACAAAACAGAACCGGAACACAGTAGGGCGCATATACAATGACATGCCTGACAGACTGCCCACCACCACGGGCCATCCCCGCCGAGCTCACTTTGACGAGTTTTATTTCCTTCGTTTGGATTCGAACTCAGGTCTGTGTTTCAACAGTTCATGGTTATGGGTGTCCCAACTGAGCACGTACGTATTCATTCAGAAGAACAAAAATACGAAGAATCAAAAAATAGTAATATTGCACTCAATTGCACTGCACGATTGCCCTTCTCTGAGCCGAAAGGTCATATATATTGTCACAAAGTTGTCAGAGCCCAAAAGCGAAAAGAAAACAGAAAAAAAAGAAAAAAAGAAAAGAAAAAAAAAACGAAAAATAAATTCCTTTTTTTTTTTTTTAATCAATCCCCCCCCGGCCATCGTAAACCGGGAACAGAAGGGGCCGCGTGGTGGGTGAGATGGGAGCCGAAGCAAAAGCACAGAGAGGCAGACAGATAGATGTACTCGAGATACCCAGACCGAAAGTGACTGAGCGGTAAAAAAAAAAAAAAAAAACTGTTCAGTAACTGCAGTTGATATCTTAGTTGATTATTATGAGATAAAAGTTCTGATGAAACACCTGGATACTCATAGGGGACATAGGATAAATATCTTAGGGGGTAAATAGTAAATATCTTAGGGGGGTAAATATCTTTGGGGGATATCCCACTCTACTGCACAAGAGAGAACAAAAAGAAATGTGGACGAACTGTGCAACACAGGAATTAGAAAATCCGATGACAAAGGATGGGGGAGAGGGAGAGAGAGAGAGAGAGAGAGAGAGAAAGAGAGACATTCTCCGTCAGAAGTAATGAATGTGCATAGTCTGCAGCAGAGTACACGAGGAGGGAGGGAGGGAGGGAGGTAGTGCACAATTTTGAGACGCTGTGCGAGAGGAATGGGGGGGTGGGTGAACACATCTGTAGAGAGGCGGGAACGGCAATCTTTCAGTGCGGCTACCCCGGTAGCACGAGATTGGTGGGAACGGCAATCTTTCAGTGCGGCTACCAGTAGCACGAGATTGGCGGGAACGGCAATCTTTCAGTGTGGCTACCAGTAGCACGAGATTGGCGGGAACGGCAATCTTTCAATGCAGAAAGAGAGAGAGAATGCGTTCCATGCGCGGGAGGGTTTAATTAGTTAATTAGTCCTATCGTCGCCAAGATCGAATGTTAATTAGGGAGGAAGAACTAATTAGTCCGGTCCTAGGGGTACGTTGCCAGCGAGGCAGGCAGAATGACGAAATTTTGAGGGGTTATTTACCAGTGAGGCGATCGAGCATGGACGATACATTGATATCGTGCTCTGCTTTTCTCCTCCTCCTCTTCCTCTTTCTTCCTCCTCCTCCTCCTCCTCTTCCTCTTCCTCTTTCTTCTTCCTGCTCCTCCTCTTCCTCTTTCTTCTTCTTCCTCCTCCTCCTCCTTCGTGCCTATTCCTCCTCCGCCGCCATCGTGCCTATTCATCCTCCTCCTTCGTGCCTATTCATCCTCCTCCTGCCCGTTCGTTCTCTCCTCCTCTCGCGCGCTTGACACCTACCACATTAACACATTAAAATCGCACTACCTACCTTCCTCCTCCTCTTTTCCTCTTTCCTTCTCCTCCTCCTCCTCCTCCTCCTCCTCGCCCTTTCGCTTCGTCCTCTCCTTTTCCGCTCACTTACTACTAAGTCCTCTCCTGCTCTCCCGTACCTGCCATCCCAACCTTCTGCCTGCACTCTATCCCTGCCTCGTCATCACTCCCCCTAGAAGATCACCTATAATTATCGAGTAATATGTCATAACTCCTGTTTTTATGTCATAACTACTGTATTCCAAAATTAGACTTACTGGTAGTATTCTCTCTCTCTCTCTCTCTCTCTCTCTCTCTCTCTCTCTCTCTCTCTCTCTCTCT